CTTATGTTACTATAATAGGTAGACTTTCTCTGAATCATTAGGGATGATTGCATCATTATATCTACTTCATTAACTATTTTAAGTATTGGATTATTGAAATAATATGGTTGCAGAAAAATGCAAACTTCATAGTACATAAATAAGAAGAAAATGTAAATAAGAATTGGTAAGTAGATAACATTAACCATGTTCTAAACTCTATATTCAAATTTAGATGAAGAAATCTGGCAAACAATAACTTAGGCAATGGATGAAGATTACCCTCACTGTAATATGTAGATATCCTGTACCCTTCATATCAAATAATTGGAAAAGTGTTTTAATTATGTGATCTTCCATCGAAGTTCACAATTCTAGTTTACTACTGGAAAGTTATTGACAATCTCAGATTAGGGTGCATTCTGTAGGATATCTACCCTGTACTCCATAAAGCTCACTCATGACAAGAAAGAACAAAAACTGCCACAAGCTGGAGAAGATCAGGAAGGCATGACTAGTGTGTTATGTGTAACTGTGGATTGGAGCCTGGAAAAGAAATATGGCATTAATTGAGAAAAAAAAAAAAAAAAGCAAAACATCTAATGACAGTCGGCATAGTGGTGTGGTGGGTAAGGCTGCCACCTTCGATATCAGTGTCCTATATGGGCATCAGTTTTATCCTGGCTGCTCCACTTGTGGTACAGCTCACTGCTAATGAGTTAGAAAAAGCAGCAGAGAATGGCCCAAGTACTTGGGCGCCTGTTACCCATGTGTGAGACCTGAAGGAAGCACTTGGCTTCGTCTTTGTCTAGCCACAGCTGTTGCAGCCATCTAGAGAATAAATCAGTAGATGAAAGATTCTCTCTCTCTCCCTCTCTCTCTCTCCCTCTCTCTCATTCTCTCTGTATAACTCTGACTTTGAAAAAAACTAATATATCTTTTTTAACCAAATTTTTTTTTATTCAGAAGCTGAACAAATTATCCACATATTATATATACAGATTTAGGAGCATAGTGATACTTCCCACCATACCTTCCCTTCCACACATGCTCCCAACCTCCATCCTCCTTCTTTTCTTATTCCTTCTTTTAATTTTTGCAATGACATACTTTCAGATGATTTTATATTCATAAGCTTAAAACCTTCACTAAGTAAAGAATTCAACAAATAATAATAATAATAAGAAAAAAACATTTCCTCAACAGTAGAAACAAGTGCTTTAAACAATAATCAAATATTAAAATGTCAATTTCACTCATGTACATTACATTTTTTGTACTCTATTAGCTACCACAGGTCAAGGAAAGCATGGTGTTTGTCTTTCTTTCTTTTTCTTTTTCTTAAGATACATCACATTTCACTAAGTATGATGGTTTACAGTTGCACCCAGTTTATTGTAAATTATAAGATTTCATTTTTTACCACTGTGTAATATTCCATAATGTATATATTCCATAATTTATTTATCCAGTATTCAGTTGATGGACATATGGGTTGATTCCATACCTTAGCTATGGTAAATTGAACTGAAATGAACATGGGGGTACAAATCACTCTTTTGTATGCTGATTTCATTTCCTTTGGATAAATTCCCAGGAGTGGGATAGCTGGGTCATTTGGTAGGTCTAAATTCAGCTTTATGAGATATCTCCATAATGTGGCTGCACTAGTTTACATTCCCACCAACAATGGATTAGGATACCCTTCTCCCCATATCCTCACCAGTATTTGTTGTTTGTTGATTTTTTGTATGAACACTAACTTAATGGAGGTGAGGTGAAAGCTCATTGTGGTTTTGATTTCCATTTCCCTGACAGCTAGTGATCCTGAGTATTTCAAGGTGTCTAATGGCCACTTGAACCACCTATCTTGAAAAATGTCTGTTCAGGTCCTGTGCCCATTTCTTGTCTACGCTGTTGGTTTTGGAGTTGTTGAGTTTCTTGATCTCATAGATTCTGGAGGTTAATATTTTATTAGTTGCATAGTTTGCAAATATTTTATCACATTCTGTCAGTTGCCTCTTCACTCTGCTGAGTGTTTCTTTTGCAGCACAGAAGCTTCTCAGTTTGATGTAATCCCACTTGTTAATTTTAGCTTTGATTGCCTGTGCTTCTGGGGTTTTACCCAAGAGGTATTTCCCTATGCCAATGTCTCGTAGGGTTTCCTCAATGTTCTCCAGTAATTTGATGGTATCACATCGTAGATTTAGGTCTCTGATCCACTTTGACTAAAATTTTATGTAAGGTGTAAAGTAGGGATCTTGTTTCATACTTCTGCATGTGGAGATTCAGTTTTCACAGAACCATTCTGAAGACACTGTCTTGGCTTCAGGAGTTGATTATTGCTCCTCTGGTATACTTAGTGAAATAAGTCAATCACAAAAAGACAAAAACCATATGGTTTCTCTGATCTGTAGTAACCAATGGAGTACTTAAAATCTAATCCATAGAAGCAAAATTGACACCATCAGATATGATGGTTTTGAACAGCCCTTGCCTTGATAGTCAAGGAACAATGTTTTTCTTGTTAACTTGTTTGTTTTTTGTTCTGTTTTTCTTTTTTTCTTCATACTATTTGGTGAGTTCACTACATTGTGTAGGGTTAACCTTATGATTGCAAAATTAACTGAAAATTGATCTCTGTAAAAAATAAGAATGGGAAAGGAAGAGGGAGAATGAATAAACCTGAGAGCACGGGAGGCAGGGAAGGGAGAAGAATCACAATGTTCTCAAATTTGTATCAATTAAGTGCATGAAGTTGTATTCCTTAAACAAATTGAAAGTTTAATGTAAAATAAAAATGATTTAATTTATTCATTTAAAAAACAGAGTTAGAGGGAGGAGAAGAGAAAGAGAAAGAGAGAGAGAGAGTGTACCTATCCTAAGGTTGTGGTTGTGGTTCATGTTACTTCCCTGTGGTTCTGCTCATTATACTCTTCAGCCATCAGTGTATTTTATTGTGTTAGTGTCTAACTCAGTACTAAACAGCATATTTAAAATATATGCTAAATGAGAAAAGGAAAATCAGTATCTTTTATAACTGAGTTATAGTCATAGGCATGAAGTTTTATTCTGATGCTGCCAATGTTTCAAAACATATTTGTCCTCATTTTATTTGAAAAGCAGAGACAGACAGATATTACCCAAATGGTTGCAACATATGAAGCTGAGCCAGGACAAAGCTAAGAACCTGAAACACCACTCAGGACTCCCATGTGGGTAGCAGGGGCCCAAATACTTGAGCCACTTTCCAATGCTGTCCCAGGTGCGTTAGCAGGGAGCTGGATCATGGGGAGCAGTCAGGACTCTAAATGGTACTCCATTATGGAACCCCAGCATCCCAGCCATTTAACCTACTGTGCCACAATGCCTGCCCCTATGGGTGGTTCTGACTATAAAACAAAGAATCACTTGGAGTCTAGAATAGACCTCTAGTACATGAACATATATTTTATAAAAATCTGGCACTTAGATCAGTGTATAAAGGGATGACTTTTTAAATAAATATTGTTGAGATCATTACACATACATAAGTCAGAATATAAAATTGACCCAATTTTATATCATAGCAAAAATTAATTCATGATCATAGAAATGAATAAAAATGATGTACAATTTAAGTCTAGAATATAAAATGGCATAGAATTTTAAAAACAGAATAACATATAGAATTTGAGACACTGTAACACATACAAAATGGGGGTAATCTGTTATTTTAGAGAAGAAATACATTTATTAAATGGAGAATTAGAAGAAATTACCTATACAAAGGGATAATTTGATAAAATGTGTATCATTAGAGGTTAGGAATAAATCATCAAGAGAGTAAACAGCTAAGTTGTGTTCCAGGAGGAAATACAACACATGCTTCAAAAATAGATTTGTATTCAGAATGCTTAAAAAACTACATATGAGTAATAAAAAGTAAAAAAAAAAATTGAAAAATAGGCATAATATATTCATAGTCACCTCAAAAAATCTAAATGGTTTTTACAGTATTAAAAAAACTTCAACAACACTGACAATAAAAGAATTTGAATTATAACCAAAATAAGACTTTGACTCATTGCCCAGCTTTGAAAATATTAACATGTCTAGTGTGACAATACTAAATGTTACCATGAATAGGCCAAAATTTGAGGTCACGTTAAATGTAGCTGGAGCATAAACAAGCAGAACTCCTTTGGAAGATGGATGCTATCTGGTAAAAGTGAAGAAACAGACTGCCTGTGTTTGGGACTCCGGGACACAGAACAGGCCGCAGGAGTGTTTCTCTGCAGTGTAGCAGACTCGAGGGCAGGATGCTCATCCAGCATCTGCACAAGAGGAGAAGCAATACACGAGCTCACTAGTAGGGTGCATATGCAGACTATGGTAGCTCATTAGACTCTTCAACATAAAAAAACACATCTACAACTAAAAATTATTTTAAATCAAAATGCTGAGGACAAGTGCACATAACAAAATGTATACAATATTATTTGTTTGAAATTAATTTCAAATGGCAGCATTTGGGGAAGGAGAGAAAGGAAAAATCCTGAAAAACACAAACTCCAAAGTGGAGTTTAAATCTAGGGGTGCTGAGCAGGCACAGTGAAAAAGGGACAATGGGCAATTTTAAAAATGTGAATGATGTTCTGACCTTCTTTTCCTTGGAGAAAACAACATAGAGTATTCTAAATAAAAGATCTATGTTGTTGACCCATTTCATCAAGAGAGAGACAGAGTGAGAACAAAAGGAAGACAATGGTCTTCAGCAAGGGTGACATATGTGTAGGATTCAAATGAGGAACATAGATGAATTTTATTTCTCCTTTTCTTCCATTTTATCCACAAGTGATTTTTTTAAAGAATGATGATATTTAATGATCATGGACACAGGCAAATTATCTAAACAGTTTTATGAATAAATTTTATCCTAGTTACTGAAAAAAGTAATGAGCCTGATTACAATGCGTAAAACATGCAATACAACTACTTGTGGGGTGTGTACGTGCGTGTGTGTGTGTGTGTGTGTGCACTTACAATGACTGAGAAAACAGTTTGGCATAGACTAACTTTCTGAGAGTTTCTTTCACATCTTTATTTCTTAGGCTATAGATAAAGGGATTTAGCATAGGGATCACAATGGTATAAAACACAGTTGCTACTTTGACGAAGAGCAATGAGTTTTTTGATTGGAGCACACAGTAGAGCAGTAGGATGATCCCATGGAAGATGCAGATGGCAGTCAGGTGAGAGGCACAAGTGGAGAAGGCTTTTCGCAGTCCATCTTTAGAAGGCATCTTGATGACGGTGACTATGATGAACACATAGGAAGCGAGGATGATGAGAAGACTGCACACCTCATTGAATGTAGAAATAACTAAACACATGAACTGGCTGAGGGACGTGTCAGAGCAGGCTACAGAAAGAATGGCTGAATACTCACAGCCAAAGTGGTGGATGACGTTGGATCCACAGTAGGAGAGCTCCCACAGAGAGTATGTGAGTGTCAGCGAGCAGAGTCCACCCCAGGTGTAAGTCCCAGCCACCAGGAGAGCACAGAGCCTCTGAGACATAGCAATTGTGTAGAGCAGGGGCTTGCAAACAGCCACAAACCTGTCATAGGCCATCACTGCCAACAGGAACATTTCTGTGATCACAAATGTGCAACCAAACAAAAACTGTGTCATGCATCCTTCGAAGGAGATGGTTCTGTCTTCTACAACCAAGAGTGCTAGCAGTTTGGGTGTAACCACAGAGGTGTAACAGAAATCTAGAAAGGATAGATGGCTGAGGAAAAAGTACATTGGAGTGTGGAGTTTGGGATTAATCCTGATGGTCACAATCATACCTAGGTTTCCCAGCACGGAAACTATGTAGATGACCAAGAACACAAAGAACAGGGGCACCTGGAGGTCTGGGTATTCTGAGAAACCCAAGAGGAGAAATGGGCCTCCACTGCTCTGATTTCCCTCATCCTGCATTTTGTTCCTGTTGGAGGTATTCAGAGAATTCATCCTGAGCAGCCAGTTACAGCAGACATAGCAGAAGTAATGGCTCAGACATATGCTCCCAAAGATGACCAAGGCTGGTGTGATATACAAGATGGAAATTCATGCTTTATTTTTTGTCTTTTTCCTGATTTGCTCACTTTCAGAATATTTGAATGAGAGATATTCATTTTATCTATTATGAAACATTTTCTTCATCTATGAAAGAAGAAATGTTAGTAGTCAACTCAAAAGATTATTTTACAGATTATACACATATATGTTCATGCTACATGCTTATGGTATCTTTTCCCTTTTTTAAATATCAAGGAATTTACTAGTGTATGAATTCCAATTAAGGTTAACTATATGGCAAGTGATAATAAGCAATGAAAAGGAACCTGCAAAACATCATAGTTCACAGCAATAGAATAGATTACGACAGAGATGACTCGATGGAGCCAGATGCTGGGAATATTAACATCATGGTTCCACAAGTATTTCTTATTTTTAAGAAAGCAGTAGAAATAAATTTCTGCAATTAAATGATATTGTGGCCGGCGCCGTGGCTCAATAGGCTAATCCTCCGCCTTGCGGCACCTGCACACCGAGTTCTCGTCCAGGTCAGGGCACCGGATTCTGTCCTGGTTGCCCTCTACCAGGCCAGCTCTCAGCTGTGGTCCAGGAGTGCAGAGGAGGATGGCCCAAGTGCTTGGGCCCTGCACCCCATGGGAGACCAGGATAAGCACCTGGCTCCTGGCTTCGGATCAGCGCAATATGCCGACCACAGTGCGCCAACCGCAGTGGCCATTGGAGGGTGAACCAACGGCAGAGGAAGACCTTTCTCTCTGTCTCTCTCTCTCACTGTCCACTCTGTCTGTCAAAAAAAAAATGATATTGTGCAGTCCTCATATTATTCTGTAATCATAAGTTCGTAAAATGCCGTATTGGGACAGTTCCAACTTCAGGTTAATAAGTCTATTAATAATGAAACTTGTTTTATGATGATATTCTTGTCAATGACTATCTTTGAAGGCTCTAAAATCTCAAACTATTGCCTCTTGAAAAAGTATGTTTGGGATTTTGAATTTTTAAAGAATTATCATCTGGCTTTGGACTGTATTGTAGCTGTTTTTACATAAAATATTACCTATCTGTCTATTTGTCTATATATATATATATATTTAAAGGAAAACAATATTGTACTTTCTGCAATTATGGACCATAAAATATGCAATAGTAGAAAAAGGGAATTAAACAATAACAAAAGTCAACATTTTCTTATGTTTTAGATAAAAGTCTGTTAGGCAAAACATAAAATACAATGCTGATAAGCACAAAATTGAACTTTGGTTATCAGCTTGGACTAACAAGTAGATATGATCCTATCATTCACACCTTGGAAAGTGCCTTAAAGTTTTGCTTCACCTCCATTAAACAATGCTCTATGAACTCTTAATAACCAGGAAAACTATTTAAGTAATGGAAATTTTAGACAATTTACTCTCGAAGTCAGTCCTACAAACAGAATCCCTGACGTATATCAAGGGCACATAGCTCCCGGAATGGCACATTTTAAGTGTCTTATGTTGTTGCTCATGGTTGAACAAATCACTTCTTTTTAAATGCGTAAGTTGAAATTGTTTGATTTGGTAACTTCCTGCAGGTTAGGAAGGCTAGGGTTGCTGTAATATTTGAGTTTCATAAAATCTGGTTGGTATGCTGGAATTTTGATAACTCAAGTAGCTAAAGTCTTAGGATGAGGACAAACACCACTTTGAAAAATGCAAAGTGATCTTTATCTTTTTCTATGCTTTCTTCTTAGTCTTCAGAACAAGTTCCCCTTCTTATATTTCTGTGTCTAAAGAGTTCTATCTGGGGCCCATGCAGTGGCATAGCAGGTAAAGCTGCCTCCTACAGGGCCAGCATCTCATTTTGTCGCTGATTCAAGTCCTGGCTGCTCCACTTCCAATCCAGCTTTCTGCTATGGCCTAGGAAAGCAGTAGAAGTTAGCCCAAGTGCTTGGGCCCCTACATCCGCATGGGAGACCCTAAAAAAGCTCATGGCTTCCAATCTGCCCTGCTCTGGCCTTATGATCATTTGGGGAGTGAACCAGCGGATGGAAGACCTTTCTCTCTCTCTCTGCCTCTACCTCTCTGTAACTGCCTTTCAAATAAATAAATAAATAAATAAACCTTTTTTTAAAAAAGAGTTCTATCTGGTTTTTATTCTGTCCATTGAAATTGCGTGGAACAGGTTCAATCACTGTGATAAGACCATCAGATATAGTAAAACAATAGTTATACTTACTTTATCTTTTTTACCCATTCTAATAGGTATTCCTAAATTTCTTGGAAGTTTCTCACGTGCTTAAATTTCAAAATACAGCTTAGTGATTCTTTTGGACTGAGTTTAAATTTATAATACCTATGGTTACATTGTCTTCTTTGAAATGAATGTACTACTGAAATCCAAGTGCATTATTTTCTGTGAAGTGCACTTGTAATCAAATACTAGAAGCAAGTAATGTTCAGTTGACTGACATTCTGAAGTCTTGTTTCTTTGTTGCCACTAAACTATAACTTCAGCATATATTCTTTGTATGTTGATGAAATTAATGTCTTATTTACTACTTCTGCATTTGAAGTCCTGTTTGAATCTTCTTGTGCATGATGTATTTCCCCTTTCTCTGTGCACAAATGATTCCTTTAATTGTCTCCATCTAATCCTACCACACTATTATCAGAGGAGCCCAGTGTCACATAGTAATAGTGTTTTTAATAGCTAACCAAATCTTACTGCTGAGTCATTTATTGCATTTTCTTGAAAATATGTATGACACTTTGTAAAGATCTAAGACTCTGGATGACATCATTCTGAATTCAAACTCTTCTTCAGCCCCAAATTAAGGTATGGCTCCAACAAGTTTTTGAAGCTTTTTGTACCACATCTGGTTATCTACAGAAATATCATAATCCTATATGTATTTTGTTATTTATTTTATTCCCATTGCTGTTATTCTACAAACAAATCAATTTGATTAGATACTGATTTCAAATCATCTAATAGTGTATCCTATATTGTGCAAATACTCAAAACTGTTTATTTTTTCATTCTCCTCTTCCTAATGTTATTTTTGATGATTTATTTTGAATTTAAAATATGTGAACACAAGCCACCCTGAAATAAAGCATCATAGCATCATCTGTAATTTCAAAGTATAAAGTGGTACAAATAGGGAACAGGAAATAGATAAAAAAAAAAAAAAGCTTTCTTCACCACATCCTCTTTTCTTTCTGATACAAATTCCCACCAATGCCTCAATCCATTAGCACATACATTTGATTTTCCCCTTTTTTCCTCCAATTCACTTTTCATCTCAGTTTCAGGGATGAGAAGTCTGGTTAGGGCAGAAATGAAAGATATTCAATGTACTTCCATCTTTATCCTCACCTACCACCCATCTACTACCATCTACTCAGCTAAATAACAACAGATCTTCAGTTAAGCTGTCTATTCCAACCCTTCTAATTTAATTTTCATTAACTCTTACTTTGTATAGTACTCAAAGCCCATGAAAACTTTCAATGTAGCCTCTCTAGAAGGCATCTGAAACCTTAACACATGCACTGAGATGCTCATATTCTCTAATTTCACTACACATCATCACTCGTCTGCTACTACTTACCATTACTCACACCAGCATGTTTCACCTTTCACACACAAAATATTTCTTTTGTAATTTGATGATTTTATCAAAGTATACCTTTCTACTACAATGGCCTTTTCCATCAAATTCTAAGCACTGCCACCTCTTAATGTCACTTTCCAGACGACACCCTTCCAGAAAACTTTGGTTATTAATCTGGTTTTCAAAGCAACATGGCTCTGATTTGCTTATGCTTACATGGCTTTAAAATGGCAATTATTTTTAAAATCTTCAAATATTTCTCCATGACTTCACATATTTAAAAGTGCTTTTCTCTAAATGATTTCTTTTTAGAATTGAGAATGAATGAGTCATACTGCTTACATACCTACCAAACTGATCAAACAATGTTAATATATACTAGTAAGGTTAGGTTAATGAGGTTCAAAGTCAAACTCATATCAAAATTCTTAAAGATTTAGAAAACAGAATGTAATATCCTGCATATTTATGTACAACTAAAGTAGGTGCTTGCCACACCACTACAACTAGTCTAACACAAATATTTCTCTGCCAAGATTCTATTTCTGATTTCAAATGTTCCTATATTAAAACTAAGATGTAGCATTTAGATTAGTAACCCACAAGAAGTTAGATACCTTTTATAGACGTATTTAGTGAAGGCTCCTTTGACTTGATTATTACAATTCGTGAAAATTATTTTTTAAAACTTTTTTTATGAAACTCATTCTAGTTTACAATTTAGTCATGGGGGTTTCATCCCAAGTATATGCTACTAAAGGCTAAAGAAACTCAACAGTTTTCTTACTGTATGGTAAAGAATGAAGTCTAGAAGCATAAAGAGTCCCTCTCTCATGGGTGAGTCAGAATTAGAAAATAAATTTAGGTATCATTATTGTGTATTTTATATGTAACTGAGTGCCTTTGGGGAATTATACCCCCTAGAGAATGTTGGTAGTGTGCTTGCTATGAGCTAAAAACAAGGCAATTTGAATAGGGTCCCTTCTTGCTAATTTAGGATCTAACTAACATCTAATCCATAAATCATATTTAATACAATGATCTTCCTGTTGTATATGAATAATAATCCACTTGTAATTTAATGTACTATGTATTCATTCTTAAAAACATAAAACTACAAAAATTCATGAAGAGGAAACTCCCTATTTGAGTGCATCTGTGTTGCAGTTTTGTAAATAAAAAACCCTGGATCATATTGCATAACCATATGATATTTTGCTCATGTTCTTTAAGGTTTTGTCCTATTGTTTTCCACTTTTATTAAAACTCATGATGCATATATATTTTTCAGGAAGGCAATTAATAGATGTGTTGAATACATGCTGTACTTCTCCTC